CAATGATAGTGACTTTTAAATCTGTAATAGAATGACCAGGGAGATTGAATTGTTCACTTACAGGCTTATGTATGTTACCATTCCTGATGTCTGATTTATGTCCATTTATTCTTTTGCAGAGGGACTGTCCGGTTTGGCCAATGTACATGGCAGAGGGGCATTGCTGGCACATGATGGCATATATAACATTAGTGGATGTGCAGGTGAATGAGCCCTTGATGGTGTGGCTGTACACACCACACCACAGAAACACCAACCTAGGAACCAATCCCTGTAGCAAACCTCGTTGCCTACTTTGTCACCATATCTACTCTGGCGACACCATCAGAGGACCCAACAACATCAGCCACACCATCAAGGGCTCATTCGCCTGCACATATATGACAATGTCAAGAATTTTATAATATAGATTCAATTATTATCCCTCTCTCCCTCCATCCATCAATATACCAAGTAAATTGCTTTATTTAGATTATTCTTGATTGTTCAGTAATACCATTCTTAATCTCAGTATGTCCTTATGCTAACCTATACTGAGAAAGATAGTAAATGTACATTTTAACTTTTTCTTAAACTTTACACTTTTTGTTTTGTAACTGGGAATCTCTGGGCTGAATATTACCTTTGAGGGTTTGGTGGATAACTTATCTGCTATTGTAAGGTGATCTTTCCTCAATTTTCTGTTTTCTCCCATTTTTTAATACTCACTCTGAGCCACATTCCTCCATTTTGCCTTCTCTTTGGTTCCCTGACCCTTTCAGGGCTGTAAGTTCCTCTCCACAAAAGCAGTCACAGAACTGGCATTCTAGTGCATTTGCCTTGTATCGTGAGATTTTATTTGGGCATAATTCACTATATGAAATGTTCTGTTTTAAAACATATCCCCTTAATATTGCATTTTTGCGAGTGATGGCCTTAAAGGCAAACTGTAGTGAAGTTCCATACCTCTCCTATCTTTATAGTAGGGAAGGGCCAACCTCACAACAGTGACCACAAAACAATATAGGAGGACAAAATAAGGCTACATGGACCCAGATTGGGACTGGATTATTTTATTAAATGATTGCAGCAAACTAAATAGAAACTGGAGATAAGAATAGAACTCTTGAATGGAATTCCTAACCTCAAAGCTGGTTTGATTTATCCCCACCAATTCTCTTTCCCTTTCATTCCTTTTACACAGATTCATCAGTATTTAACCGCTTTTCCTATAGACAAACCCCAAACTTTCCTTCAACCAAATCTCATCCTATCAAGTCCTTTATAGCACCCCCTCTAGCAGAGATCATAAAATTCATCAAAGTAAAAAGAAAGAGAGAAATGTTGACTGTAGTGTTTGTATAATGTCAGACACCTGGTTCTGAATCTTTGCAGTGATTTTTGCAGTACTTTTCAAGGATAGCAATCTGGGATATGATTCAGCATTCTCAGAATGTTAATTGTATGTATCTAGAGTATTTTTGGTGAGCTTACCTGAACAGCAGGTGTCTCTTATATGCCTACTCTAAATATAGTGCTTTGCTAGCATGATACCTAGAAGGTAATCACTACAAATTTTTGGAGTGTCTCACACAGATTGGATAATGGCTTCTTACTGGGCTGCAGCACTTCGGTTTCAGATGTTGCAGTTACCAAAAGGACCACCAGAGAGCTTCTACTTTCACAACACCAGTGCTGGTGGTCAAAATTGCTTAGCAAGTGTACCTGTGTTGTTGCTGGCCCTTTCATCATTACCAACAGCACTGATAGGATGTCAGCAAGAGGAGATAGAGACTCAAATGCCATAGTGATGATCATGGTATAAGCACTAGATGATAGTTGGAAGAGTGACATCACATACTTTATAGACAGATCACTTATTGAGAAGAGAGCTCTCTCTCACATTCTATGCTCTCAGAAGTATGTATTTATATCGCTATATAGCTTGAAGATGTAAACTTGGCATTTCAGGGAAGTGGGCAAGATGAAACTTGACTTTTGTATAAACTAAAAAAGGAAGGAAAATGAAGAGAAAGAACCTAAGTAGTAGAAGAACTCATTTTGTTGGGGACCACAGTTCTCAGGGCTCATTGTAAATATGTGATATTATTACAATAGGACATTAGTAGGCTTCTGTGTAAGATCAATGGGCTCCATAACATAATTCAGATATCACACCCCCTTGGTAAAGCTAGTTCAGAGGGGACCAGGGCATTCAGGAGTTGCAAAGAGAGCAGTAAACTCCTGTGCAATTTTCAGGAGTGTCTCTGAATAATGCACTTTCTACATTAAATCTCTCTCTTTTTGTTTTTTATAACATGCCACTCACCATTGTACATTATACAACATTTGAGTCCCTAATTGTGGTTGGTCATGCCTACTTAATGCCTGCTTTTGTTTTGTCAAATCTATGAATGCATACTTAGTTGCTATTCAAGTTAAAAATTAGGTGTTTGAGAGGAAAGAGGAATTGGGATTAGATAAACCTAACTGTTCCTTTCGACTACTAAATGCCTTTCTTCTCTCATTTGTGTGCCAAATAAAACTCCTGGTACATTTAACTTTAGCCATCACTTATCTTTTCTTGAGTTGAATAGTGACTATGCAATCCATGAACCATTTTCTGTTTCATTCAAGCCGTATAGTTGTAATGTTTGTGTCTGATGGAAGAGACACCATTGTGTAAAAGGCAGATATGGAATTAGCTTTTCCATTTGTTACCAATGAAACTGGAGCTGGAAAGATTTTTTTTTTCTCCTAGGGTTTAAGTTCAAGAAAAAGGGTGTGTGGGGGTTTTTGTTTTGTTTTTAATAAATGTGGGACCCTGGGCTGTGCTATTTCCTGCTTATTTGTGTGTGTGTGTGTGTGTTGGTTTGTGTTCTTTCTTCAATGGATAGTCAATGACTGGCTGGGGTAAAGCTCAATTCTCCATTATTTAGGTGATTTTCTTTTTTGCAGGCCTATCCAGCACCACAATGTATCATAAATTGCTGCTGGCTTTCTTCGAAAATGGAGAATTTGCAAGCTGGAAAAGTTTTGGTACTTATTCCCAGGCTTTGTAGTACACAGACTGTGGGCCTGTATTGTGGTAAAGGGATGGCTGACTCGTGGAATGTTAATTGATTTGAATATTTTCTCAATAAACATAGGTTTGCTTGCGTTCGTGATCAATGTCAATCTCATTGTTCTCTCTTTGGGATGCATGATTTGTGTTTTTACTAAGACATTAATAAATAACTTTCAGTTTCAGGGCCAGTGTTCATATAATAAACTTCACTGGTGGCTGGGGCCCAGAATAAGTGGTGGAATAAAGGCTGGAAATTACATACTTATCACCTCCTTGGAAAAAAAATTATTTGCATCCACACACAATCATTTCTGAACACCCAAAATAAAATCAATTGACAGCTGACCAATTTGGAGCTCTTTCCCCTTCCCCAGTAGCTTCTCTGCTGTGTCATAGTCCTACACCTGGTCTCCCTTACCCAGTCAGAAATGCCTATTAGAAATTAAGTACCAGTGTACAGTTGCAGTTGGCAGTGGTTGTATTTCAGGGCTTTACTGATTATCTTTTCTCCAGATGGACATGAATTTCCACAGAAGACATAGCGTAACAGAATGTATCATTTCTGATATTTTCTAATGAGGTGTGGTAGTTTAATTGAAAGCAATAGAGATATGTCAGTGAAAGTGCTCCATCTAAGAAAAATGTGGGATGTGAGCACAGGAACAGAAACACCGTGTACAGAGGAGAACTTGTGATTGGAGTAGTTTGGTAAAGTGAACATTTAAAGCCTTCCTCATTTGCATGCTTTAGCACTCTGCTCCATGTTCTGATATTTTGATAGTAAATAAAGCTGCAGTAAACCTTCATAGAGATGTAACTCTAGATACATAGCCTTGTTTTAAATGTAAAAAGCAAAGATCTTAATGCCATTACCAAATGAACGTTTCAAACCTAAGAGTTCTTGTGCACAAACTTTAAAATATCATTAAAGGACGAAGAGGTACAAATGAATGTCCATAATCTAGAGGAGAGTAGTAATAATCAGCTTTTAATGGCAAAGTGTTAAGAATTTAAAATTTATGGCCAGAAAGTACCTTAGGAGAGTTTTCCTGCATGTGTTAATGACAAACCTACTGCCACGTGAAAACTACAAAAGGACATTGCCTCTTTAACGGGGACTACTACTTGTGCTCCTTGGAGCTTTGCAGTATTAGTAAAGCAGCATGAAAGAGTTGATTTTCATTTTATGTTGTGCTTGTGAGGCATTAACATGATGTTCTAACACTTGTAAATGAATACAGCTCTTGCCTAATCTGTCATTTTAATGCCTTATAGATTTTATTTCACTCTGTGTTGTACCAGATTCTCAATAATAATAATCAACTGCTTTGTTGTTCTGTTGCAGAAATTAAATTTCTTTAGTGAGTGTGCAACTAATAAAAGATGTTGCTTGAGGAAACAAAAAATAAATATGATGAATCATAAAAGTTGTATGTAGGGGGTTGTTCATATATGAAAGACAATTACTGAACCAGTGGTAAATTCATCTGATTCTCATATTGTCAACAACTTAATAACTCCCTCAAACGGTTTAGCCATAGTAGCTCTGTATATAGAGATGTCTGTAATCATAAACCTGCTTTGCTGTGGACAGTGAACTGTATGCTGTAGCATATCTATCTATCTATCTATCTATCTATCTATCTATCTATCTATCTATCTATCTATCTATCTATCCTAAAAATAAAAGTAACAAGTACTTTGGAAAATCATATTGCATTTTCCAAACCTCAGAAAACTTTTCTACTCTTAATTCCTGTTCTGTCATAATCTATCTTGTGGTGAAGCACTACAGTCAGACGTGTAGGAAGCAGAGTATTTGAAGACTTCAAAGTGGAAAATAAACAGTGACCATCACTCAGAATGCAAGAATGCAACATTTTCAAAAGGTGTATGGCTGTCAAACCTACCAGACAAAGTGGTCACCCATTTACAGTAGTAAATTTTTACAAATCTCTGTAAATGTCCGCAACCTTTAAAAAGAGGAAGAGAAAATATAGGCTTTGGCTTACACCCAAAATAGTCAGTGAATCCAGAGACAAGGCCAAAATTCTGAGGTGCTATTCTCGGATATTGGTGGTTTTCCCCCACCGTTGGAAAAAAATGTTCAGTGTGAAGTAAGTAATTTCACTCATATAGTAGGTGGGGTATACACTAGGTTTCAGCATATTTAAAGACTCTATATATCATATGGGCTCCAGTGCCTACCCACAACAGGCTAGTTTCTGACCCAAAGGCCTGATTCTGTGCTGCCTTCATCTTGTGGAATCATTTACCCAAAATGAATGTAAAATGCAACCAGATCAAAGTAATGGCCTTTTACACCCCACCTTACACAATGTAAATGGCCACACAAGGTGAAAAGCAGTGCAGAATCAGATCCCAAGGTACTTTCTCACACCAATGTGAATTATAAGTAAATGGAGTTACACTAGTGTAAAATTAGTGTAAATGATGGGAGAATCAGACCCCAAGTGTCAGCCCAGAGTTTCCGCTGCTGCTCAGTATTTTTTTTTTCTCTGGGTCAGGCCCAAACGTTTAAGCAAAGTTATAATGGTTTTACTGGCAAAATATATACATGCCCTATCATACCAGGAAAAGCCTGCCTTTGCATCTACAAAATGGGAAAATGCAAAGGTATGTTCCTGTTTGTGCACGTTTATCACTTTTGCTTGTGTGAGTGCTCGCTTTGCTTTACACAGCCGGCCTTTTGTAGGCTCAGGTCATGTGGTTCCATTTTTAGTTACACCTCTTGCATCCTGATTGAAAACTTGGCCCTTAATTTTACTTTCAGGCAATATGTATATGTTAATTTTCATTATTTTCCAAGGTAAATAAAAAAAGAAGAAAGTGAGTAAGAAAATGATAAGTTAATACTTTATAGAAATATGGGGAGCTTGAGACGTGTTTCAAAAGCGCTCACCATCCAGCATTTCCCACTGTTGGCATCTAAATGAATGGCCAGATTTTCAAAACAACTCAGCTTGTTCTCAATGGGAGCTGCTGGGAGATGAACACTTTTAAATATCTAGCCACATATTTGTGTATTAAATTGGGAGCTGAATTCTCTGAATATCTGGCCCCAGTTGTGGATGCTGAGCGCTTTTGAGAATTTGACCCAGATACCCTGTTTTTACGTGATATATTATAACAGCTTTTTGACTGTCAGTCATATAATCCCTAGACAAAGTATGGAACCATTTCAACATTGTTAATGTAGTTAGTGTTGTGTTTCTAACATATCCACAGGTAAATAGTTACATCTAACTTTACAGTAATGGTGGGGTTTTTTTGTTTGTTTTGTTTTTTGTTTTCCCCTGAGGAATTCCAACACTCACAGTTTGCCGCTGTTCAGGATTTTCTTGTTGTGAATTTCATTGTGGGCCAGTTTGTCGAGTGATTTATATTTGGATGAGAATACTGAAAATGGAAAAATATTTTTCATTTCACTGCAGAATAGCACTGCATAAATGTACCTAGCCCTGTCTTTTAATGAAGAACAAGCACTACATGCCTCCCTACCTGCCAATGCACTAATTTAGGACAAAGGACCAGAATGAGGAACACATTGAAAATATTTACGTAGAAAGCTTAAAATTATGTGGGATTTGTGTCTTTAGCACAGGCCACATTAGCTCTATAACCCTCAGTTTAGTGATTCAGCATTACATAGATATATAACTTAAGTAAGAAAAGCTAGATAGCACCAAGTTTGTGGGGACTAGCTGGAGGTCTCACATGAGTCTCAAATGAGGCATATATCCTTATGAGAGGCAATGCAGTCTGGTCTAGTGGACAGAGCCTGGGCCTGGGAGCCAGGAACCCTCTGAGTTCTAATTTGAGTTGTGCCGATGACTTGCTGTGTGCCTTCCAGCAAGTCAGTTTTTCTCTCTCTGTCTCAATGTCTCCATTTGTAAAATGGGGATAGTAATACTTACCTACCCCACAGGGGTGTTGTGAGGATTAATTAGTTGTTGGTACAGCACTTTGAAAATGTAAGTAGCCATATAACTGCTAGGTATCGTCATTATAATGAGAAGCATGCAGCACCGTAAGAGAAGAAATATTCTCAAAATAGGTTATATAGGCCATTATGACCTCCTCCCCAAGAACAGCTTCTGGATTTATTTGAGGCATCACTAAGTATCAACATTTCAAATCTATATGTTGATACTTTGTTTTAACTCTTGGAATTTATTTCTCTGCCTCTTTTTTCTTAACTCATTGCAAACCCAGGTAAACATATGTAATGGTCCTGCTTGGATAAACACTTACTTTTATTATGTTTATGTTAAATATATAAGGATCATTAGGAGGCAAGGTGACATAGTCAGTTATTTTGATTGCCTCAAGGCACTTCACCACTGACACCTGGTTTTGAATTCCAATTGGAAATGACCCAAATTATTGTAAAAGTATGAAGTTCATGTACCAGAAGCCTGAATTCTGGTAGGTATTGAGAACTAGAATTACCAATGACAGTGAATTGCACGTAGGCAATCCTTTTTTAATTGCACTGCATAATTTAGAAATCAATGTAAAAAAGCAGGAGGGCTCATTAAAGTTACTACTACATACCAGAGGCTTACTGGTGCTGATAACCAGAGCTCCACTAAGCTATCTTAGTGGCTCTGTTAGCTAAACTCTGTTGCTAGGAATGTGAAAATGCCCACCCAAAGAGTAGAAACTCTGCTTTTATACTCATTGTACAAAGTAGGACTCTCACCATTGTCATCGAAGTCACTGGGTCAGATCTGATTTCTCTCTCTCTCGCTCGCTTTTTTTCTGTATGAAATGGAAAAAATGCTCTTCATCGGTTTCTGTTTGATAGTGTTTGCCAGACAAAGTAGAATTTTCACAGCACAACTTCTATAGCTCAAGAGACCTATTCACTCAGCATTTATTTTATATGCCTTTCATCCACCCTTTCTGGGTTTAAAAAAAAACAAGGAATTTACCCACTCAGATTGAGCTTTGCACCAAAATTGTCTGGTTTTTTTTTGTAATGTTAATGAAATCCCAAATAGACATCCACAAAGGTCTTCAGCCACATAACATATAAAGTGAATATTGTGAGCTAACAAACAAAGGT